TATATATATAAATATATAAAAGAAAGCATCTCATGACGTTCTTGGAGAAGCTGCAAGCAGTGACAGAAAGTTAAAGCAAAGGCTTAATGCTTCAGTTCCAGCCATTATCCTTAATCATGTGAGATAATTCAATAATAAACTTCCCCTCCTTATACTTCTGACTTAACTCAAATGCCTGCTCCTGTAGAAGAAAGGAGAAAGAGGGGAAAAAAAATTGCGATCAGACTGCAGGGTAATGATACAAATAAAGCCATTTTGGCAAAAAATGTGTCCAACTACATTTCTTATTAAAACGAAGCATGCTTACATATTTCCAGCCCAGTGTGGTGTGGCAATTCTCGCAGTAAATATCAGCCACAGCATGAAGACCAGTCAGCAGCAGCCTTTCTTCTGCTGGGCCACAACCCACGTTCACCCTGAAATCACAAAATGACAGTTAAACCAACTATTTCTTACATCACAATGTGATTCAATCTCTGAGATTTTGTTCCAGAAGTGATACTCACACAGAATTGAACAGGTAGGCACGTCCTTGACTGCCTTGAAATGACTGAAAATAGACAGACACGTGAGTCTATAATGCAAACAGCCTCACAATTAACAAATCTAGCTTTAAATGTGCCACAAAAGTCAGACAAAGGAACTCTCACCTTAGAAATTAGGTCATCATGGTTGGCCAGGTGTGCACGGCAGTGGACGCAGCTGTAGCATCGGTGACAGGAGTCCAGATAGGCCTGGAAAGTTTTGGCCTTGGTCTGCTTCACCATGTCTTTGAAGAACACACACAATCAAAAACGGTGTCAGATCATATCTGCAAGGATAACAAATTTTGCTGTCGCTTCTCACGTCTAAATATGACCATGAAAACTTGAGGGAAAGGCTACAAAGCAGCTTTGACAGCCAAAACAGCTCCTAGCGGGGTTGCCAAATGCGTAGTTGCAAAGCATGGCATTGACATCGTCAGCTATTAATGTTGAGATTTTCAAAGCAAACTAAATGCTTTGAGATTTTATGCATGCTAGACGTGACATTTATGGCAATCTTTTCCTTTGTGCATTTGAAAAGCATTTTCACATCGCTGCAAATATTGTATCCTGTTTCAGAGATATAGCAGGAAAAAAGGAAACATCCACATGACCTACTTTGCTTGGCTGCCCACACTGTAGTTACCCCATATATGGCATGCCAGGCACGAGCGTAAACAAGGGTGAGAGGTAATGAATAACTATGGCATGCTGTAATAAATACAGCTTTAGATATAATACAGGGTTATAAAATACTTTAATAGTTACAACATTTTCACAGGCACGCTCACGATTCTAGTTTCAGTTCATATGGACTACACAATGCAGATGAAAAATCGTGAAAGAATTGTTCATATGAGTCGGGTGCGTTCAACGATTCGGTTGAACCGGTTTACAAAACCGATTCGTAATGAGCCGAGGACGTTGATAGTAAAAACCATTTGGAGTAACGAGGATTTGACTGATGGGGCAAAAATTAAATACATAATTAGCAGAATAACACAAAATGTTACAAATAAAATTTAGTGGAAAATAATTTACTTCACTATATGTTGATTTTAAAAAAAAGTACTTTGAGCCAAACGTTGGCCAATATATGTAAATTAATTTTAGTATTATTTAAAAGGTAAAATTAAATTATTCTTAGGTTTTAGCCCTTAATGTCGATCAAATCGATCCACCATCACAAACAGCGAATATCTGTGCTGTTTAATGCATTTGAGACACTGTGTTTTCCTCAGTGCATAACTGACATGTCACAGGTATATTTTTAATCTGTAAATGTTATAAAGTCATGCAAATATATCCATTTTGCTGTCAGGAGTGGGCGAGGCTGACGCGAGTGAACGAGCGCTGCTGCGCGCATGCGCGATAAACAGATGGAACAATAGCGCAATAATTTTGAATAAAATATGCATTCTGCTAAAATATTTGTTGTTCTAAACAGACTGAGTGCAATCACAATACAATATGCATTCTGTTAAAATATTTGTTGTTGGACATTAAATGTGACGTAAAATTGTAATCCTACATATGTGTATTTTTATGACAGCAGTAACTGTAAATCAAATGTAAGCTAGCTAATACAGCCCTAATTACTAGCTCAAATGAGTTAATGTGTGTTCCTCTTATCATATAAAATATAGTCTGTTTTATATGATTTATTTTCATTTTTAATTTAGTTATTTTAACTTTTAATTTAGTGTTTTTAATGCTTTAAAGAGCAATTTTATATTGTAATGTTTTAATGTTCTACTAATAACCATAGAGTACAGCTGTCATAAAACCAGAGAGAAAGGCTGCATGGCTAGAAACTGCTGATCAACTGAATGCGCATGTAGCATGTTAAAATGTTTTCAAATATCTTAAAACAAAGTCATTAAATCTTGGGCACAATACATTAAATACAGTCGGTTGTAGCCTATATTTTTATTTATTTGATTTAAGTTGCATTTTCTGTATACTTTTTTTTTTTTTGTACTGATAACGTCAAATAATTGTATGTGAGAGTCAGCGCCGTAATATCAATGCGTTCCTATTGGTCAGCGTTAGACAAGAGGAGCGCAGCTTAGCCTGACAGTTAGCCTGCCTCGGACCAGGTTAGTTTCCCAGCATAAATTGCCAGAGTGACTGAGCGTGAGCTATGGTAATTTTGCTTTATGAAACCAAACCAAATCAAGTGAAAATAAGTCAGACTAACTGAAATAAGCCTGGCTAATTTGGTAAACCTGTTTTATGAAACAGCCCCCTGGGTGATAACGTCACAGCTTAAAATGACCGCCAAATCGTTTTTGAAATGAACTGTTCGAAAGAACCGATTCGCGGAATTGAATCATTCCCCCTTCACTAATAGAAAAGAGAACGAACGCGGCCAGTTGCACGTATGCCAGTCACCTTTATTCACGTTTCGAAATAAAACCCTCTAAATATACAAGTAACAATTTCACCATAGTGTACAGGCTCTACAAGCATGAGTAGAGCCGTTTCAGATTAGAATTGCTTCTAGCCTCCTTGCTCCATTTGACATAATGAAAATGGACTCACCTAAATATAAACGATTCCTTCAAGACAAACGCTGGTCGCAGTATTGTCGCCAGAAGACAAGTAACAATTTCACCATAGTGTACAGGCTCTACAAGCATGAGTAGAGCCGTTTCAGATTAGAATTGCTTCTAGCCTCCTTGCTCCATTTGACACAATGAAAATGGACTCACCTAAATATAAACGATTTCTTCAAGACAAACGCTGGTCGCAGTATTGTCGCCAGAAGAGACGCCTGCTCAACTCAACGGCGTGAAGCCTGAGCGTTCACTAATCAAGCGCACTAAACCAAACAAACGTGCGGCGCGCGGCGCTTTTCCCACAACTCCCTCCTTTGTGTCCCCCCGTCTGTCGACCTGCTTTACTGCCTAAACCGTGTGATGTCAACAGAAAGCTTCGTAATTCCCAAAACTCAAGCAAGCCAGCGTGCTCAATACGTCGCAGCCGAATATAATCCGTAGATTTGTTTACTGTATTTATGAGGAAGTTTCTTATATGTCATGTGGCGCAAAACATACCGTGGCTGACCAATCAGAATCCAGACAGCGACGTCTGGAAATATAGGTCAGCCAATCAGAGGCGCTCTTCCCGAGCGTTTGAAGTCACCTGAACTTTACAGTTGCGTTAACGTTCCAGCGAGCAAAAACAACAAAGCCCTCGTGTTCTGGTTACCTTCGTCTTATCGCTTCTTTAGAAGTGGCGATTTTGGGTCCTCTGGTTGTTTGCATGACAATTAAGTCACGCAGATGATTTGAAAATACTTAACTGTATAATGAAAGCCGCCGTGGTTCTGTGTGACATCAAATGATTCACTGAAAGATCATGTATTTTTAATCTAAAGAAGATTTTCAAAAGGGACAGTGTAATTCAGTCTTTGATGTCTACTGATCCCCTGTTGAGCACAGCTGATGGACTTTGCACGGCCTCAAAGAAGTTGGATAATGTTTGTTTGCAAACATAGGTAGGGAGGCGCTAAACTGACGCTGACTGACTGAAAACCACAATAAACATGCTGTGAACATGGTGGGATAATAATGAACGGAGCAAAGAAGACAGTCCACTTGTAGAATATATGAGTTCTATTTAATCTTATGTGTTTTCATACTCACGAAATGTCCCATGAAGAATGCCATAAACCAAGTTTTATGTGAACACTATGCCAGTGCTGATCAGCTAATAATGGGATTGATATAAAACTTGGGTGTATGTTTAAAGGCAAACAGCATTTGTACAGTGTGTGTGTGTTTGACTGGACAAGGGTTAAGTACATTGTGTATTTGTGTTTGATCACGTGTCTTGTGTGTGTCTTCTAATATAGTTTGATAACAGGGTGGGATAATCAACCATGACTCCTGTTGCTCCTGCAGCAAATGCAGTCTTAATATCCTCTTCCTTATTACACACAAAGAGATTAATCTAAAGAGAAAAATAACATTTTTTATTTATTTTTATTTTGATGCATGTAGGTACATACACACAATCTGAGACCAGTTTCTCACTGAAAATTAAAGTTACTCAATATGCTAAGCTGTTTCTTAAAGGACGTACACCCAAAAATGAAAAATTGCTGAACATTTACTCACTCTCCGGCCATCCAAGAGGTAGATGTAGTTTGTTTCTTCTTTGGCACAGATTTGGAGAAATTTAGCATTACATCACTTGCTCACTAATGGCGCTTTTCCACTGCGTGGTACGACTCGGCTCGGTACGGCTCAGTACGGCACGGCACGGCTCGGCTCGGCTCGGTTTGCGTTTCCACTGCAGTTCAGTATCACTTTAGAGTGGGCGGGATTATTCACATGTCATTATAGTTGCACCGCCTCTACTGCCGCGACTCCTAAAAAACGTTTTCATTCCGCGTCGCCCCATCAAGCTCTCACTGGATCCGCTCCTCTGCTATCAACGAGAGTAACTTCTGTTCTTCCTCATCAGGGGGAACAGCCACTTTTTGGTTGTTAAAAAAAGGTGCGCTCGTTCAAAACAGTTGCATTCGATCCTTCGCTGGCTGTGCTGATTTAAATCTAGCGGTTCTGTTGTGTTTGTGTCGCAAGTTCAGTGACGCAGGTAGTGACGATTCTCTCCGGCCAATCCGTGATCAGCAGAGTTTACACGTCACGTTTTGGTAACGGTACGGTTCACTTGGAACCCCAACCGAGGTGGTACTAAAAAAAAGTACCAGGTACTGTCCCCAGTGGAAACCCCCCCAAAAGTGAACTGTACCGAGCCGTACCGTGCCGTACCATGCAGTGGAAAAGTGAATGGGTGCCATCAGAGTCAAGAGTCCAAGCAGTTGATAAAAACATCACAATAATCCACACAATTCCAGTCCATCATTTAAAGTTCTGTGAAGTGAAAAGTTGTGGATTCCATAGCAATGCTTCTTCCAGTGAAAATATCCATAACCTGTTGTCCTCTCACACCATATCCACTGACATATTTGTTTAGAATAGGTTTCTCTTGTAAACAGAGCTTAATCTGTCCATATTTCTCTCCTGATACGGATAGAAGACTCAAATTTTAACCAAAAGCTTGAAGTTAAAAACGTCTAAATGACGGATTTGTTTCTTACAAACCCACAGCTTGTTGGTTTACAAGACATTAACTGATGGACTGGAGTGGTGTGGATTATTGTGATGTTTTTATCAGCTGTTTGGACTCCTCTCGTTCTGACGGCACCCATTCACTGCAGAGGACCCATTGGTGAGCAAGTGATTCAATGCTACATTTCTCCAAATCTGTTATGATGAAAAAACAAACTCATCAACATTTTGGATAAACTAAGGGCGAGTAAATTTTCAGCAAATTAAATTTTTCGGTGAACTATTCTTTTAACAACACAAAAACATGATATAGCATGGCTTCAAATACCTGAATTCCTCTGTCTCTGAGGTGCTTGAACATCCCTTTTCTCAATGTTAGTCTGACAAAGAAACATGTAAACCACAGAAAACCATTTCAATCTAAGGATAAAAAGTTAAATAAAAGTATAGTCTGATAATACTTCTAAGATTAGTTACCTTTGAATTAAAAAGACGAGCAGTCTGCTTCTCATAATCCACGTTTCAGGCATGTATTCTCTGTAAGAAAGAGATTAGTGAAAATGCATCTGTGTGATTATTACCAGGCACACAACATAGTATGGAAATATTTGGTGTATACTGACCTGTTTATGATTTGTGGCAAGTAGAACTGCAGGAAACTCTCTCCGAGGGAACAAAAGGCAGAAGACCGGTGTAGTAGAGCAGGAGCAGCTTTAAACCCCGCTTTACAGTGAACATGTAGGGCATGGAGGAGTTCTGCCATTGACAACAAAGGAGACATAGAGCTAAAGAGGTAAGAAAGAGGAAAGTATGTGGGTGATTTATTTTTGAAACAAAACAGGTAGAACATAAATGCACACGCACTGTTTTGCGACAATTTTTCATGATGGTGGTGTCAACAGAAGCCCAAACTGAGGTGGCCTCTCTGTTGTATTTCTTCACAAGATCAGAAATCTAAATAAAGACAGTACATAAAATATAACATTATTGAGATAAAAGAACAAAGAGGGAGGTTTAGTAAACAGATGTAGTTAAATATGTTTAAAAAATTAGGACAAATATTATGGGCCATTTTGTGGCTCAGATTTTGTAGTACATATTGAGTATGATGATTGCTCTCTTGCCTTCTCAACCAGCATGCTGTTATTCTCTTTCACTTCAATGTTTACAGCTATGTGTGGAAATTTGCGGAAGACATCCTCTAATAACGCAAAGTTTCTATCTGACCCAGTGCTGAAGTGGCCTGTGCAAAGGGAATTAAAACATGTATAATCATTATGCATTAATAAACATGTTAATATGTGTTAGCAGTTTCACTGGTAAAAACACACACCTGTCTTAAAGGTCACCTCGAGTGTCTCATTATAAGGTGGCAACTCCTAACAAAAAAAAAAATTCATAATAATTATGAAAAAAGAAAACATTAATTATTAACCAAAACCTGTGGTTTATAAACATTAGCATTCAAATGTTTTTGGTCTGTAAGATTTTTTAATGTTTTTTTTTTTAATGTTCACCATTTATTTGACCAAAGTACAGTAAAACAATATATTTAAATGTTATTACTATTTTAAATAATTTTGTTATTTGAATATATTTTAAAATGTAATGTATTACTGTGATGGTAAAGCTTAATTTTCAGCATCATTACTCCAGTCACATGATCCTTCAGAAATCATCCTAATATGCTGATTTGGTGCTCAAGGAATATTGCTTATTATCAATGTTGAAAACAGTTGTGCTGCTTCATAATTTTGTGAAAACCATGATTCATTGTTTTCTTTGATAAATAGTAAGTAGTAAACAGAGCTGGTAGAGCTGCACAGTATATCAGGAGAAAAGGTTAACCTTGACCCCTGACCTCCAGGTTTAAGGAGGAAATGTTGACATCTTGCCCAGTCTGCCCAGGAGGTTCTCATCATGTGACACAACCACATGACCATCTTTAGTCAAGTGACAGTCTAACTCCAGCATCTCTGTGCCCACTTCAGCAGCACTGAAAGGAAAAGAGACATTTTGGACATCGCAACTGTAATGACTGCAGCAAGAACAGTTAAGCTAAATGTTTTCAGTGAATAAATGTCATGTGGTTTCGTATATATGTATTACTTTCAGTTACTTGAGCTATAATGAATGAGTGGTATGAACCTTTTTTTTGTTATTTTGGACAATTTTGCCCCAGTCCTTATTCACTTTTATTAATTAAAAAAGAGTGGCCCAAGTATTCTTTTGTGTTGTAAAAAAAATATTTAAATTGAAATTACTGAAACAAAATTAGGGTGAGTATGTTAATATTAGGGAGACCTATTGCCCTAAAAGGACTGGGAAAATTAAATTGTGATCATACAAATGTAAGATAGGAACTTAAAAGGAGCCGATACTGATCTACTGTTCAGTCTGAAAAACTGATCTGAGACTCACTGTGTAAAGGCCTCCATAGTGTTCTCAATCTTTTCACCACAGCCTGAGGACAGAGAGCAGGAGGTCAGAAAATGTGGACTGACTCTCATAGACACACAAACATAAAAATTCCTCAAATAGTTAATCACTCACTCAATCACATATGAACTAGCTTTATATACAAACCCCATGAGGAAAACATTCATACATGCTGTCACAAACAGAATGATCTAATGCTGTGTATTGACAGGTTTATGGAATAGTCACAAGATTTCCATATATTTGTCAACAGATTATATACATTTAATAAAATAATCTTTTGTAAATCAGAAGGTTTATGTAACTTTCCTTGCTGTATGTTGGGTCACTTAAAAAGACTTTGGCTGTGACATGCATAGAGCAACAAGTGCAGATGATTTAATTGTGATTTAATATAATATTTATCTTCAGCATTATTACAGTTAATTACTATGACATTATTACACTACTGTGTGACTATACCTTTTAAAGGTACGAATCCC